AATGCCAGGGATAACGCTTAATAAACAAAAACCTGCGCACGTGCATCGCAATTTTTGGTACTTTCTCGCCGGTTTTATGACTTACGTGGCATTTGAAAGAACTTTGACATACGAAAACTAATGGCTCAAATGTACCTTGTGCTTTTGACGCGAAAAAAAATTGCACCGAAATGCGATGTACTAGGCCAATTGCGTTGTTCGCGATAAGTTTCAAAGAGCGCCGATGTACTCGGTAATAGATGAAGGTTCACATACAGCTTTTCATCAACAACATAAAGATGAAATTGGTTCAATTAACTACCTAATGATTTCTGTTTAGAATATATCAGTGGACGCAGGAGGATGTCATCAGGCACCTTAAAACGTGACTCGTGCCACAGTTCTTTTATCCATGAGCACTTGACAGTTGAAAACAAAAATTCAAGCACGTATTTACGGTCAAAGACCTTTAGATATAGCAGAGAGTCGGTGATTGCGCACACGTACATCACATCCCGCTTAACCATTAAAAAAGAGGTGTTTGACCATAAAAAAAGATGCAAAGGTGTAAAGATTTAAGTGAGGATGATAAACAAAATCGCCTAGATTTGCGTGACAGAGTTCATGCATAGATGAAGTGAAAACGTGACAAGAATTCTAATGACCTCACATGGCACAATCGCGAAACATGATTATTCGAGTTTGGCCACTGAAAAGGAGGGAAATGTTCAGATGAAATCCGGTTACGCCTGCTATTCAGGCATGAATTGACAAACAAGCTTCTACTGATAATTTTAAGAGTTATATGAAGCCAACGCCATGGGGGAAGTCAGTGAAACGTGACCTAGCTACATAAAGTTGCTAATTCAAAACTTTTCTGACACGTAAAAAGCCTCTTATTACACCAAGTGCAATTTTAAACTTATTTAATGCACTCTTAAACACAACACACTCTTCGTTTCATTATTTCAGCGACATAAGCTAGTTAATTCTGTTAAATCTGACAAGAAGCAAAAAACTTTCATTTACAGATAACGCACTGTCGGAAATGACGTCAAATTAAGAAATCTCAATATATTAAAATAAAACAAAAACTGTTGACTATTTGTTGCCTTTAACCTAAATGTGGCCTGGTCGCAGTTCAACACTCCTATCAGCATTGTAATCAAGTGAATGATAAGATCAGTGAGCTGTGCTAAAGGGGAAAGGTTTTTTGTAGTGTCCGATATTCATTTCCTTGCACAACTTTCGCTTGTTGAGTGATATCCTTTGTAAATAAAGTAAGGCCTTTTAATTCGTTCATTTATTAATCCTAGAGAAAAGCTTAACCAGAACAATGATGTACAACCTCGAATCACAAAAACGTGCGCAACCATGCAAATTACAACCTTGATGGCTGGCCAAGGTCAGCACAAAATATAACGATCAAGAGTAAATATATCGACGGTACATTGTATATTGCTAGACGAGCCACTGTGAGCTAAAAATTAAATCAAAGAAAACAATTTGCATAAAAGCCAGGGTTGTTATCACCTGTCAGAGGCTAAAAATCTGACAAAGGGAGGCTGCGCGTGCAAACAAAACTGCATTTTATTCTTGAGTTACAAGAGTTGCAGAGGGAGTGATAAAACATGATAAAGGTGAAATATCTCGTTGGAGTATTTTGTGAAAAAATATAGGCGGGTGTGAGGTCAGTTACTCAGAACTTAAAGTCAATTATTTTTGGGAGTACATGACTGTCAATTATTGGCAGAGATAACTTGGATATGAATACAACATTTGAAACCTCATAAAACGTATTGAACTTTAAGAAAAACGATAAAAGAACAGTATATCATTTCACCATTTTCCCCAATAAATCATGATTACATTACGCATGTAGTGCGCGATAGGGCATTGGGGTAGCAATTAAAAAACCTAATGACTCAAGCGCTGAATGACTTAAACATAATTTGAAGACCTATCCTTTGTGCGTTCATTTCATACCACAAGTATCCTACCTGAGTATATAGCTTACCTGGATCAGAACTCTGAAGAAAAGCTGGGTTGAAATACAAGCTGGTATCTTCCAGAATGTCATCCAAAGTAATCGGCTGTCCGTTGATATTAAGTACTTCGTTATTGCAAGGATTGCTCATTTCCAAACTTATGTTGCCCTCCAGTTTGAGAAGTTTGAAGAAACGTTGGAATCAGTAATATATGTAAGATAAAAGAGCAGGATTCGAAGAGACAGGCACAAGCTTGCAGCTCGAAATACGATCGCCAAGAGAGTCCTTGATGTCTGAAATCCACGCGCAAGTTATTTCACAATAATCCGTCCGTGAGATGCACTAAAATGTCATAAAGTCGACCCAGATGGTAGATGAACTCTTGAACAAAGTCTACTCAGTACAGTCAGTAGTTCTCTGTGTTCGCGAATGACTCAACTGAAAACAGGAAGTTTTCACGAGCTGCAGACTTTTTATCTGTCAAAATGGAAATCAACTAAAAATTCCTTACATCATGTGTGGACTTAAACGATTTGTCCAATCAACCGTGAAATTTCCGGTGGCAGCACGCGGAAATTTATATACAGTTGCGATGTTTTCAGGCTTCAACCGGTCCAAGCTTCTCGATTTTTCGTTTTTATCCAAGAGAGAGAAATTTATATTAAGAACCCAGTAAATTTACAGTTGAAAATCACCGTCGTAGGACATGAAAAATATACATAGCAACTGGTGAACAAACTTAACGTGACGCAAATATGCCATATAAGGATAGAAGAGGAAATAATTTGAGTGTAATCGCATTGCATTTCAACATCACCTGACTTCATAAACTACTACAGACACTCTTAGAAATATTCTTAAGTATTGGTTCTGTGCCAAATAGGAAGGAACCTGTGCCTCCAGGCTGCGCGCTTTAATCGTAACGTAACACATATGTGAAACGAATTCACTATGGAAATTCTGGACCACGACGTAATGGATTAAATCAAATATCCCGGATGAGGTAAGTACAGCGCACTGGATCAGATAACGTGGCCCGGTGCGTGAATAATAACCAGCACGATAAAATGCGCCGTATCGCGTCGCTTGAAGAAGTCAATCTACGTCATTACATTGACGGCAACATAAAAAAAATAACAAAGGTACTTTCTGATAAGGGAGGGCGTATTGCTGACTAGACAAATTTTATTTTAATGTTCTTTCTCGTCCTGCTGGCTGTACAAATATTCTAGTTGCATGTGACCCCTTAATCTTATGGGCTTCCTTTTACGCGAGCTTTGGTTGTAATAAAAAACATAATAGACAATGACTTGAGGCTGCCAAGATCCCTTAAGACTGATATTTATAATTGGTGCTTTGTGTCTGCGATATTTCACGTCTGTTCCATCTACACAAGACGGTCAAAAAAAGAAAATAATTCTGGTTGATGCTCAGGTGCTTCTCGCAAATGGCATAATTAATCCTAAAAACTCTCGTAAGTTCTCCATAATTCATCAGCTACTTGAACATCTTAAATCTTTAGTTCCATCTAACATACAGATGTTAAACTTTGATTGATTCCGTCACTTAACAGAATGTTACCGAAGGAAACTTCGGTCATTCAACAATTTCAAAGTCAAGGGTCATTTAGTCTGGAAAGTTCACTTGAATACTCTCGAACAGTATCGTGTAACGTATCCCTTTGTGGTAAATAATTTAAGATTCAATAAGGATTTAATCACGCAAACTAAATAGTATATCCTGAATAAGTTCTCAGAAAACTCACGGTATGGGATATTGGAATTTTATACATCAAAATACGGATGGAAAACATTCCAGTATCGACAGTATGTTTAAACTATTTAAAGGTTGTTCACAATACACGTTGAAATCGTTTCAGCCTGTGGTCTTTACAAGAGATGTTTTGACTCGAAGAGTGTCAAAACGGTACTTTTCAAAGAAAATTCTGAGAAAATCCTATCGTTAAAGCATCCCGATAACTTTAAGTCGGAGCGAAGATGATGAAAAAGCAAACGTGGTTGTTTGAATGTTGACTAGGCAACCTTACAAGGCGAAGTATCTGCATAATTGTCACGCAATGTTTCCCAAGGCACACGCACGGAGCTAAAGATGAGATATAATCTAAGAAAATTCCACCGGAATTTTTAAGAAGCTATGAGTTAGGTCGCGAGGTTTGTTACCGGTCGGAAATTCCATATATAATCACAGTTTATTTTCATACGTGACTCGTAATGTGAATTCTTTGAACTCTACAGGAACACAAATCTAAGACCACGTGCGTAACGTATCGATTCTCATGCGGCAGTGATAACAAAACGCAGCGAGCTGTTTACTTTTTCTGGTCATTTATATAACGTAGTCATCAAGATTTCCGAACAAGTTTTGATAGAGAGAAATGCAATTACTTGACATTCCACATTTTAACCACAAAAAGGACGACGTGATGGAGCAGAAGTAGTACGCTTCAAAAGCATATCTCTTAAAGGTTGACTGAAAAAATACTTTGGCTAGAATTATGCCCCGAAAGGAAAGTTTATTTCAAAGCAGTATCCATCTCAAACTTCCAAAGGAAATTCAAGATATTAGCTACGCATAAACCCAACCCTGAACTTTTTGTGTCAGCTCCAACTCCATTCCTCTCCCGGTTAATGCTTAAATCGAATAAATATATCCTCACTTCCGTCTCTATCACTGTCTATGTAATCATAACTTTCCGTCTGTCTGCCTTCCTTGTGCTCTTGTTCTCTCGGTTCCATCCCTTTTTTCCTTGACCAAAACCGGAATTACGTCACGTGTAATTATTTTTAACACTGTACAAAAAGGAAATAAGTTACTCCTCGTTCTTTATGTAAGGGGTTTCACCGGCGCTCTGTGAAATTACTTTCTTAAAACAGGATCTAACCAAAACTTTTCACTAGCAGAAAATAAGTATAAAAGTATTTCAGTAACAAAAACAACAAAAAGGAAAACAAGAACACCCACCAAAGGCGAAGAATAACTAGTAAGAACAAACCAACCACTCTGAGACGCATCAAAAGTAAGTTCTAACATTATTTTAATAATAGCCATGTTGTCATTGCCACATGCAATTCACACAGACATCCTCGTCTTTTCACAGCACGTCTTAATACTAACTACGTCTGTAAACTTAACCTTCCCCTGAGATTTACTTTTAACAAATTTCATACATTTCATTTTGTGAATTAGAGTAAAGAATTCTTAATGCACGGCAAGCTAGTAGAGGACGTGACACTACGGCAAACCAATTTGAAAAGGTGGTACTAAATAGATTACCACAAAACGGAAACAAAAATAAAAACAAGTTTAAGCAGTTGCTTATGGTTAGTTTGAATGGAATAGGAAAGGGCGGGGCGGAAATCCACATAGCTTTGGTTAGCTGCTATTATTATTCAGCAATAACGTATTACGAATCGTCATGAAAAATTTCTTTTTTTTTTTCAAAATCTGTCGAGTGGAGTTAGTCCTACATTAACCTTCTAACCCCCTAAGAGTGACTGGCGTCCTAATAATCCTCACAATATCACCTCTCAATCAAACTCTAAGGTCCCGAAAATGAGGGTAATGACCACCGACTAGAGAAAATGTTAATTGTTAAACAAATTTTCCTTGGCAGCACCTCAGGAAACGTATACAGCATGGAGAGAATGCATACTGATACTGTATTAAGGTGCAAAGAGTTCAATACAATACCATATACCGACATGTGTTAGCTCGTGTTACACCTAAAAGATACACTTTTTGTCCTCTAGTCACATTGAACAACTTCCTAAAACTGATTTCCAGCCCCTGCCTCCCTATTTCCCCTCTTCTTTCCCTTTTTTTAGTTGCTGGTTATAGCAATTTACGAAAGAACCATGCGTTCTAAATTATTGTCATTTCAAAATTCCTCCTCGCTGTCCCTGATTCGTTCCTTGGAGAGATGGGCAAACTTTTCAAGCACTTCATCGACAGTCTTCTCCCCGTGAACTTTATTGTCGCGGGTACGGACATTGACCGTGTTGGAATTTTCTTCCTTTTCGCCCACAACTGAAAGGAAACAAGATGAAACAATTTCAACCCTAAGGAGCTTACCGTCTGTTGGATGCGAGACCTTTAGCAAACCTCGACGGCAACGGCAACGAGACTATTGCGAAACAAAAGCCGATGTAATTAGGAAAAAAAGCACTCAATGTGTTCGTTTTAATATTCTGTACATTTTGAAACCAACAACATAACATCGCCAAAATGGGCCTGGTTCGAGAACTAGAACCCTGACAACGAAATATTTATGTTTCTTTTTGGAAATCAATGCTGTTCACAAGTCACGCTGAGGTTGAAATGTGGCTCCTGTAAAGACGGTTAAGACATTCAGCCGTTCGCCAAATTCTTACGAACAGAAATCAACATTATTCTTAAGAATTTCGCGAAGGGCTGAATTCATTTCATAGTCGACGGTTCTGTCCAGGTTGCGGTCCTGACGGAACAAGGTCTCAACTGTTAACAGCCGACAGAAGGCTGTTAACATCTGATCGTTAAACACCCTAAAAGGTCTGCGCACATAGGAGAAAGAAGCAATTTTCTGAAATAGCGGTTCATCGTGAAAATCAGTTCGTTACCTGAAATCATCGACAGGTCAATTTACTACTTTTTTAATTTATACGTGATCAGATTCCCACTTCATAACTCGGTATTCAGTAGTGCACCCAATTAGTAATTGAGTGGCACGTGATCAAACTCGATCGAAACAAAATTTACTCTTGTTGCCATTTTGCTATTGCTTTAATAGCAGTTCAACTTTGAAAACCACTTAAAATCTTCTTACTGTCAAATGTCAGTTCATTTCATTTATTTATAAAATGGGGGTGTGAGGCGGGGATAAAAAATTGGAGCGCGACGTGTTTAATGATCGTAGTTTGTGCTCACTTTCCCTTCTTCCTCTCCTTGGGATGCTGAATTCGCAGGCGCCTTTGAATTCAATGAAGGAGAATTCATTCTACCATAGCTATTTTTTGTTCTTGCATTTGAAGTATAAAATTTTGCGTCGAAGCAAAAAGTATCAATTAGAATTCCCACACTGCATCTTTCTTTTCAGCAATACACAGTAAGTTGTCTTACCAAATATGAAGTTGTACTGAGCAAGCTGTGCGTTCCTGATCTTCTTGTTCAGTGTGGTGCCATGATCGAGGTCAACATCGGCCTGATAACCTGCACTGAACACGGTAGTCTTCACCTACACAACAAAATACGACACTATTAAATACCATTTCCGATTTGTAAATTCTCACTTCTGGCCGTAAGAGCAGTTTTAGATCATGCATCAAAAGTGATCCGCAGAGGCTTCAATAAATGTTTCCATAAGCGGCTGCCGATGGTGTGATAGGCTGCTGTGCCCTAAGACAAAACCCTTACGCGCACGTAAACTTGTCGACACGCGTGGCACCGTGGAAGTGTTTTCGTTAAGTCCTTGAAAATGCAAAGGAAGGGAGGATTCCCGCATGTTAATGAAATCCTTACAGCTGAGAGACTGAAATCCACTTCCAGTTATAGTGCTTCCTTGCTAATAAAACGAATAATAGCCGCAAGAAAACCAGATTAACGCCATCGGCACGAAATTTGGAGTCTCCCAGAAAAGATATACAGTTGTGAACATGAATCGTAATGAAATACAATCTTTTAGAAGTGCTACCGTTTATCTCACGATGTCGTCATTTCAGGTGTTGATGGTGAAGTTTCGACTCCATCATTTACATTGAATAGAAATTATTGTGAAGTGTGGTCATATGCATTACTAGACATGCTCTGACGAGAAATGGCGCCACTAGTACGCATGGATAACATTTAAATGAAAGTATTTACATACCTTGACTGCATAGTCTTCGTACTTAGGGGAAACAGGAATGACGATGGCTTGAGTTGGAGAAAGCCAGAACGGCCTG